ACTGCGGGGAACTCTGCAAAAAACGCATCTTCGCACGGGCAGCCCGTGCGTTGGCCAATTTTTTCAGTTATGTATTGAAAGGGCGAGGAGTTTCTTTGCTCCAGCAACATAGATCCTGCAGATTCGGTCTTGCATTGTTGGAGCAGGCACTGATTCATAATTTGATAGTTTAGTTATGCCTTTTGACAACTTTTCTAGCTGCTGCAACTGGTGCTGCATGAGGGGATGATGAGCATGAACTGGCAATCTGGAAATCCGTTTTTTCTTTCTGCGAGTTGACCAGGTCAGCGGTCTGCCAGCAGAAGTATTTGGCAAGATTGGAGACATAAGATATTCTTGTAGTGTTTTGGCTTCACCGTTTGTTGCTAAGCACTGCTGTTCGAGATCCCAGGGGAGCATTCTACCAGCTAGAGGAGGGATACTCTGACTTTTTTCGTGTTATTATATGGTTTTGGATAGATTTCGCATGTTTTGTGGAATGATTGAATTAGCTTCGATTTGGAATGGGGTGTTATGTGGAAAAGTGGGGATTTCGGTATTTTGTGGATTTGTTTTTTACCCGGATTTATGGTTGGGCAATTAGCTTATTTGCTTTCAGGATGAACTTTAATCCTCGCTTTGAGGAAATTGGAAACGCCTTTATTCAGCATTATTATGGCATATTCGATGCAGCGAATCCAAATGGTCGTGGTGCCGGCCTGGTGGATTTATACGATCCAGTCAATTCCTATATGACATTTGAAGGCGTACAAGTGAAAGGGCGAGATGCAATATTGCAGAAATTTGTTGTAAGCCAATTTGCCGGAAATGATCGTTTTGATGTATGAAATGCATGAAATAGTTTACTGCAAGCAGTTAGGCCTTGTAAATTCCCTTCCTCCACAGTAAAAGTTGGATGGGATTAAATGCAGCACTAAATAATTGACCAGTGCATCGCCTGCCGATGCAAAGATGCGTTTTTTGCATAGTTCCCCGCAGGTTTTTGTTGCTAATGGCACGTTTTTTTCCGTCAGATGTTTCTAGCAAAAAAAATTGAGACTAGCCGCCAAAACACCCCCTTAAAATTTCAGCTTTCTAGCTTTTCAGGCTCCTGAATTAACAACTCACTCACCAGGACGGTGGGAGAGGGAGGGGGACGTGGGAACTACGTGCACCTGGAGGCTGGGTTTGAAGTTGTTAAGTTCTGCTTGGACAGGGAATATCTCCTTAAAATTCCAACTTTTTAGCTTTTTAGGTTTCCGAGTTAACAACTTACCCATAAAAAACTTTCACGGGCAGAACTACGCACACTTGGGGTTAATTCTGAAGTCACTTGATTGTACGCGGACAGGAACAACTCATTAAAATTTCAGCCTTCTAGATTTACAGATTTCCGTGATTTCCGTAGATAAATTTACTTACTTGAGGAAAAGTTTCTCGGACCTGTACGTGTGAACTATGCGCACCTGGAGGCTGCGTTTAAATTTATTAATTCCTACGTGGGCAGGGGACATTTCCTTAAAATTCCAGCCTTCTAGCTTTTTTTGGTCCCCGAGTTAGCAGCTTACCGCCAAAAAAATTGGCGGGCTTGTACATGAGAACCACATGGGCAAGAGCGTCTATTTTGGGGATGGAGTTCATACATGCATGTAAATTAAGTTCCCGAAGTCAGCCTTTTAGCTTTTGTAGGTCTCGAGATGTGAAGTCGGTACAGACGAACACACAGACATACACACGCAGACAGCCCCTGAACAAAATGCTTTTTTGCATTGCCTGGACGCAGAAAACGCGTAAAAAAAGAAACGAATTGTATTTTAATAGCTTTTCTGATTGTGAGACAATGCTTTTTTTTTCAGAGCTTGCCGTTTAGGACGATTCAGCGAGCAATTACAAAAACCGATTGCCAGCCATTACCAGACGGGTCAATACTTGTAGCAGTGATCGGGCAACTGAAGGTTCGTTGCTTCGTTATAGTGTACTGAAATATCGACAGTTTGATGGTTTGAAACGAACATTTTTGGAATACTTGGATCAGTTATTACTATTGATTAGTAGTCTGAATTTCTCCAGTCATGCATTTGGCAGCTTCTTCAGTCTCCTCGACTATTTTTCCATGACCTGTTGGGCAATCTGCTAGCCATCGGGGTGTTTGTTCCGTCTGTTGAAAGGGTTACTAGCTAACTATTTCATGGATTATTCCAATGGAAGCGTCTGGCATGGCTTCGATCACCAGGATGCTTTGGTGTATGTTCAGCATCATGATCCCATAGCAAACTTTCCCACTGATAAAGTTTTTTTTTCTGACTAGAAAGAAAATGAGAAAAACAGTATTTAAATTCTAACGAAGAGCATGTTTAAAATTCCTGGGGCTCCGGGATTTGCGTGGTTCTTCCAATATTATAAGTGATCATGGATGCCTTATCACCCGGTACAGTAGCGGTTTTTCTAACAGTATAGCTTGCAGCAAACATGCCACTGCTCTCAGCCTGGAAAATGTTTTAAAAAAATCTGGGCTGTACTGTGAAATCATCACTCCTCGCTGTTACTTTTGGCCCGGGTTACCAAATAAGTTGCGGCTTCCAGGTCAATCCTGGAAGTGCAGACGGTAGGGTGCGCGAAAGCAAGAAAGGGTAATGAAGGTTGAGGATAAGCGTGAGCTAAGACATTTCGGTCCATTAAGTACCAAACTCTGAGGATGCAGTGAGAGGAATTGGATAAAAAATAGAATTGATGATGTCTCAACTGGATGAAGACGCTTGCTTTGATACTGTTAAATTACACACTAAAACGGAAGTTAGCGGAATGGGATGGAGAAAATGAGTAAGCGTAGATGGAACTGATACATCAGTAGCCGTTAGAACGGGCATTTCCGTTATCAGAATCAAAAAAAAAAAATAGACCAAATCTCAGTTCACTCTATAAAAAGCGATGACACAAGGGAATAGCCCGAATTATGGCACGTTTTAACAGCAACCACCGGGAGGCAAACACATTATGGAGTTAATAATCTGACAACATTTTCGGCTTCCTGGTAAATGCAATTACGAGTTTGGTAGCTGGGAAAAAATTAACAAAGTATAGAAGGATTAGAAATCCCATTTGTGAGGCCG